GTGCCTTTTGAGCAGCACCGGGCTCTTTGGCTTTAAAAGTATTTCGACCGTATTGGATAATGCGCCGGCGGTCACGGTCAACCGTTGGGCGATCGGAGTGTGCGGTTTTTGGGGCCGACCTTTTCTAACCCGTCGTTCCTCGGGGGAAGGCAGCATCGCTGCTTCCATAAATATGGACATGCTGGTTGCCTGTGGGAAACACCTTACTGCCTTCACACTCCTGTCGCAGAGGACAGCACGACTTCACCCCCAGACCGCCTCGTACCACGACTGCTCGTAGTGCGGGGTCTCGCTGCTCTTGGTCTGGCCGCTCCCCTTTGGCCTTCCTGGCGTGGTTGGACCTTGTGGAACGAAGTTCCAGGCAGTGTAGCCCGCGGGATCATTGCGGCACTCAAGCCCGACCACCACGTCAAGGTGGCAGCTTTAGGTCGGTGATGTGCAGGCATTTTTAATTGACTTAGTCTTCCAATTTTTTACATTAGTTAGATGGAGTAGTGGGATTGCTTGTGACCACCTGCTTGCAGCTGCGACTATTTTTGAGCGCCCTGGCTTTATGTTATATTCAATAATGTCATTTATTTTTACTTTTAAAATCACTCAGGGATATTCACGGATTGAAACTCCACATCATTGAAGTGTTTATAGACAGTGGCTAGGCCACCAGAAGTCTGCATGCAGTTGGAAGTACAGACACGGTATATTTAACGAAGTGACTGATGGTGCCGCTAGAGATACTGCAAGTCTGAACATATTTTCCACAGTCTTACAGGCAACATACTGTCGAACATGGCTAAGTAAACTTATGATATGGTAATAATTGGTTAATCAATTGACAGGCCACGGCGATATGGCTTTTATCACTTAGTTATGAAGGTGTCGTCAACCGCAACCAAAGTAATGAGCAACATTAGCAACAACCTAACGCACAACCCTTTCCGTTCGATAAATACAGGTGATGTTGTCGTGTAATTTTACCCACCAGCTTCGGTCACACGCATCGTTAGATTTCTGGCCATTATTTGGTCACAAAGCTGATCAACCGATTCAAATATCCGGATAATCTAGAAAGCCGAAGTGTTTGTAGTACGATTAATCTCTCAAAGCTCATGTTGTTTTGACAAAACGAGCTGACTGTGTGGAGTGAACCCAAATTACTGTAATTTTAAGTGTGCCTTCCTTGTCTCACTGTGCTTTTCCCGGTTAGTGTGGAGGCAGGAGGCACGAGTTCTGCCGACCCATCTGTGCCGCCTTTCCTCAAAACTATCGCTTTCGATTTTCAGTCACCAAACCTCCGGAACAATAAGCCTTTGGCGATTATTCTGTCCGGCAAAAATCCCTGCTTGGCAGCTGTGCACCGTGATTCACTCACAATACTGAAATTGAGTTCAACAATTTGCTCCGTAGCGGTTCAATCTGGAGTACAATTTGTTCTCCTGATCATGACGGATCGTGACACACATTCGTATAACGGATCATAAGTATCCAACGCACCCTCACATGGTTCGCGGTGGTTTGTATCTAGGTTTAATATGCCCACTCCAAAGATCACCGCTCACTACTTCAACCGCTTTAGAGATTAAGCAGTATAATTCAGTGTGCTGACGTTTTCCTAGAAGATGCTCTCAAGGGCAACCACTCACTGGGTGTTTATGACTATCGAACCATATTTCTTATAGGTCTGAAACAAAGTATGTTTGGAGGTGTCTCTTATAATAGCACCTTTTCTATTACAATATATCCTTCTAAGGCCTGTCTGAGTTCATTACTGAGGGGAATGTTCTACATTTATCGGTTTGTACATCTTTCGAGAGACCAAATATCTGGGTGAATTTCTTTTCGGATATAAACTTTTAATTTTGTGGGAAACTGGTTGTTTAGTTGAAGCATACTCCACAAATACGAAGTTTGCATCTTTCCGTGGTAGATATAAACCGTTACTCTGCGGGAAAAGGATCTACCTGTCTACATTTGTTTTGTTTCAGGTGAATCAAAAGCCAGCACATTGTTGCGGAACCTTGAAAGTAAGTGCAAAACACTAGCGTGCAACCATCTCATTCCCGTGAGCTGTTTCTTTCCACTTAACCAAAGAAGCTCCTAAATACTCACAACCCCCTGATCAATCTGTATACAACAGAAACCACATAAATCTATATGCGCACTTGGCAGAACTCTGTTTATCGTATAGAATTCTTTTTATTTCATTTTTACTCGCTTACCCTATTCATTTTTGTTACACGTTTCTGATGACATTTAACAAAGCATTTACTTGTGCCCACTTGGAATCAAATGTAGGTAAACCATCATATCAGATAGGTAAACTAAATCTACCACGATTTTTTGCTTCCATAGATTGATCGGTTTTGTCCTTGTGGGCAATCACAGGTTGATGCAAAAACAGAAGTTTTGGTAATTTAGAAGAGTGACATGAGTGAATGCGCCCATATCACATTACATTTTCAAGACCTCAAGTAAAGGTTCAGCAATCTGGTTTAGGTGGAGTGCAGGTAACTTCAGAGAATAGACAGAGTTTTTGAAATCTGTGTACGAACAGAAGCATGTCTGGGCTCATCAACAAGTTATTCCCGCTAGGTAGCTGACCAATATCCTCAATAATTCCATCACTAATTACACATCTAAATATACCTCTTGCCAGTCTTAATAACCTACTCCATAATAATCCACACCGTGTGAATCTGTTTCATTTATTATCCGTTCAGTGAAATGTGTTTTTCCTTCTCACTGGTTTTCTAATATTAACAGTATGTTCCTTTATTAACACTATCTATTAAATAATAAACTCTCATTTTCTCGGACAGAGTACATCATATTGCAGGTTTTTGCAACCTAACACTACAACTTTGGTTGAATCTCATTGGATTTAAAACAGCCGGTATGATTGGAAGAATTAGGACCAAAAGTTAGTAGAAGGGAGAGTCCTATTGGAAGAAGATTTTATAAGCCGAAACGACGATGCAATTAGACGCTGTTAAATGTGCCGTTGTTTTTTTTGGCTGCAGAGTCTCTTAGTTACCGGGTGATGATAAGGTTATTTGCGGGTGGTGGGACGGTGTGCATCTAGGTGTTGACATGAGCATTTTACTCAAGGTGGAGTCAATTTTGGTAGTCTGGAGTTCATAATCGCAATCGATGGCCACATTCATTTTCATCGAGCGCTTGACAACAGTTGGAAGAACACTGTGTGACATGATGCATGCACATGTGTTCCAAATCTGCGCCCGGTAGAGGTATACGTCGAATGATGAATGATCACTGTTGGGGCAGGAAGTGAGTGAATTTATTATAGTTGTTCACATCTCACTAGGTTGGTATGGCTCAACCTCCCACAGCGTCAAACATTATGAAGTTTGGAAAGGTGGAAGAAGTTCTGCCTAAAATGCACTTTCGATGTCACGGACGTTTTTCTCCGATGAATACACTGATAACATTTTGTAGAAAGTTGCACACTTCGTGGATAATGATACTTTTCTCCACTCCTAATGTTTGCTGTTGCTTGGCATCCAGTCACACAGAGTATCTTCAGACATTATGGAGGCTCGAAATAAAAGTGTTGGCAGGGTAGGGATTGACGCTAAATATTCTTACAGACGGGTAAATTTTAAGCAATAATTACCGAATGCTCTCATATTTCAAGAACGAACCTTACTCCTCGGTCAACAACGCCGGATAGAAAAGCTTTGTTGACGTATGAATGAATGAGTTTTGACTGAACATTTGAATATTCTGGAGGGAAAGACATTTAGTTACTTTCGAGACCGTTACTCCAGTCTTCGAGTCTACAGGATGGTTGGAAGGTCACTTTATGTGTAACCTTATTTAAAGCTTATACAGCAGCCCAAGAGCGTAGCGAACTGGATATAAAAAATTTTGTTGCAATCAATCACTCTGTAACCGGTTTTTGGTATCCACAGACCAGGTCCGTAAGTATTACTTCGGAACTTGGAGAATCACGGCGTTCCTTCTCCCACCTAAAAATGACGTTTATTGGATTCAGTTACACGTTTTTTGAAGATTAATGTTCAGGCCGTTCACAGTTAAGCGTCAAAGAAAGACAGATGGAGAATTCTCTGAACCCTTTGCGCAATAGTTTGTATTATTTTGGAAATAATTAAAAACAAATGCATGTCGTGATAAAATCAGCCGACGAATCGAGCAGTCGGCTTATATATATATAT